TCTTGGGCCTTAGAGCTGGTGTGGGCAACAGTATTGCTTGAACTGTTTCTCAGACCTGTCTCACTCCAGTAGGGTGAGGAGTGTGTGAAGTCTTCTAGCAAATGAGCCCAGCCCCTTGAGAGGGGATTATGTTGACTCATCAGCGTACATGTCTGTGAGGTTACCAGATCGCCCGCTGCATACAGCAGTCCTCCTTGATATTGAAGATGAAGTTGCACACAAACCACTACCAGAGTGTTCCGCTGGGGCTGCTCAGGCTGATGTGGGTCCGGTATTCAACCCCATCTGTGTTCTGCAGCTTCCATGTTGGCAGCACTTGGCAGGAGTTCAGTACGTAGGCAGGAATGGAAACGGATGGGTGCAAAGGTCAGCATGCGTCATGCACAACTAGTCAATGCTGGGAGTAGCTGTTTACTCTAGGGTGTCTTGTGGAGGGTGGAGAGGGGTGTTTTCTGGACTGTTACATGGATAGTGGCTGAGATATGACCTTAGTCCCACTGGGATTTTTCTTCACTGAGTCAGCTGGCCTCTAGGTACAATTGCACTGCAAAAGGAAAAAGATCTTTGGCAGTAAGTCTGAGCCTGGTCAACTGAACTGGGGCTCATGCTACAGGGCTAAACATAGCAGTGTAGATGTTCCCGATAGGGCTTGATCCTGGGAACTGGGTGGGTCACAGAGCCCAGCTCCAGCCCAGGGGGATGTCTACACTGCTATTTTTAGCCCTGTAGAATGAGCCAGAGTCAGCTGATCCAAGCTCTAAAACTCACTGCCACTGGGTATTTTTGCAGTGTCCCCATACCCTTTGACACTCCCCTGTTAGTGAGGGATTTTTAAGTTCCTTTCTTACTGGGGTGATAGGCCTCTTGAGGATGAGCTGGGACAACCTGCCATTTTCCTTGCCTCCCCATTCTGCGGAGGTGGCTGGAGTTGTCTGTCTGGCTTTCACGTAGCAGGGTCCAGAGCATATTGCATACCTTCCTCTTCCATTTGGCATCATGTAGCATGCCTCTGACAACTGCGATCGCTTAGGCGGAAAAGTAACATCGAAGTATGAGTGTATTTTTCTCAATGCCTTCTAATGAAACTTAGCAGTTGTAGGAGAGGCGTGAGAGCCATGTGACCAGCTCTTTTCACTAGCAAATGCCCAGTGGGCCCTGCACCACAATTTGGGGAATTTCTCTGTTAAACCCGATTCCAGTGCGGTTTATAGTGCTGGGGGGTGTGTCATGGCTGGAGTGTGGAGACCTGTGCTCCTGAATTACAGGCTGGATCTCTGGCATCTTGGATACAGAGCTCACGAGAGCAGAGAGTCTTGTCAGAGAACCCTTGGGGTGATGACAAAATGCAGCCATTCAGCCCCCTCTCTTCCACTCGCAAGCCGTGAATCACAGAGCCGTTGGCAGCGCTGCAGATCAGTGAAATGTCGACTCACCCCTGCGATGCCTCCGGCACCAGCTGTCAGTATCAGTGCTTGCTGGGTACACACCCCTGTGCAGGCTCAGCAGGAAGGAGGGATTAATCCAGTTCTTGATCAGTACAAACAACCTGCTTCCGCCTCTTTAGCAAACACTGGATATCATGGAAGCTTAACCCTGGCTGAGCTGGGTTCACTACTACTACTCGGGGTGCCTTGGCACTTCCTGGTGCAGGGATACTTCCCTGCCCGAATCCTGCCTTTGCAGTGATTTGGATACAGTTGGGTGGCAGGGGAGGCTTCATGATGCAGGGCTGCTCTAGTGTGGGCTGGGAGCTTCATTTTCTGCCATGCTGTTTGGTTTTAACTTCAGCATGTAGTGCTTAAAGGGAGGTGCTGGCTAGAGCAAAGCCTAGTGTGGGCAAGTGGTGGTCACTATCAGTACCTGCTGAGCTAGGTCTCTCTCAGTGAAGTTCTGTGGCCTGTTGTATGCAAAAGGTCAGGTCATAACGGTCTCTTCTAGCTTTAATCTATTAATCTCGTTTTGTTTGGGGGGAAGGCAGCACATCTCTGCCAATATACCACAGCCCTGACTTGTAATATGTCCTGCTTTTTTCCTAGCTAGCCAGCTCTGCTCATGCATCCAAGTCTCCTTGCTACTTCAGTCCAGGCGTATACTGCCCACCAGGCCACAGCCTGAGACCTGCAACCTCTTTGCTGTTAAACTAAGTAGAGTTTAACTTGGACTCAGTTCTCTGGGGTTGAAAGTCTTGTGCAGTAGCCTGAATTTCAACTGAAGTACAGATTCTCCTAGGGCATTGCCAAGGTTCCTTCCCCACTCTGAACTCTAGGGTACAGTTGTGGGGACCTGCATGAAAACCTCCTAAGCTTACTTTTACCAGCTTAGGTTAAAACTTCCACAAGGTACAAATTAATTTTACCCTTTGCCCTTGGAATTTCCACTGCCACCACCAAACTTTAACTGGGTTTACTGGGAAACTTAGTTTGGACACGCCCTTTCCCCCCAAAAATCCTCCCAACCCTTGCACCCCACTTCCTGGGGAAGGTTTGGTAAAAATCCTCACCAATTTGCATAGGTGACCACAGACCCAAACCCTTGAATCATATAACAATGAAAAAGCATTCAGTTTTCTTACAAGAAGACTTTTAATAGAAGTAAAGGAATCACCTCTGTAAAATCAGGATGGTAGATACCTTACAGGGTAATTAGATTCAAAACATAGAGAATCCCTCTAGGCAAAACCTTAAGTTACAAAAAAGACACACAGACAGGAGTAGTCATTCTATTCAGCACAGCTCTTTTCTCAGCCATTGAAAGAAATCATAACCTAACACATACCTAGCTAGATTACTTACTGAAAGTTCTAGGACTCCATTCCTGTTCTGTCCCTGGCAAAAGCAGCATACAGACAGACACAGACCCTTTGTTTCTCTCTCTCCTCCCAGCTTTTGAAAGTATCTCTTGTCTCCTCATTGGTCATTTTGGTCAGGTGCCAGCGAGGTTACCTTTAGCTTCTTAACCCTTTACAGGTGAGAGGATTTTTCCTCTGGCCAGGAGGGATTTTAAAAGGGTTTACCCTTCCCTTTATATTTATGACAGGCATAAGTACCATTCATACAGATTCCTGACATAGGAGTACAGTCCCCTCTCTAGTATACCGTGGATCACATTTCAAACTATAATTCTACTGTATCCCCAGAGGCTTGTTCTGAATGCCTCTCTCCGTCCATCGAACATCTCTGTAAAACATCTGGCATTTTCAGTCCACGTAGACCAGGCGTCCTTGTGACTGCAGTGTGAATTCGAACAATACTGGGACAAAGAGCAGGGATTCTCTCGCAGCAATGTCTCTTTTGCCCAGGAATCTAGTAAGCCCATTGCAGTGGGTCCTGGAAGCTAGCTAATCTAAAGAACGTTGGACCTAGGCTGAATTGGCCTAGGATCAGAGAAAGGACATCCTTCCTGCATGGTTGAAGAGGGACCCAGTTGCTTTGATTCTGCCCCTGGATGGGGATATGACATATGATGGCTAGAGTTAAGTCAGTGGGCTGTGCGGAGCATGCACATTCTGGTGGTTGTTCTCAAATGACTGTTATCATTAACGATCTGGAGGATGGTGTGGATTGTACCCTCAGTAAGTTTGCGGATGACACTAAACTGGGATGAGTGGTAAATACGCTGGAGGGTAGGGATAGGATACAAAGGGACCTAGACAAATTAGAGGATTGGTCCAAAAGAAATCTGATGAGGTTCAACAAGGACAAGTGCAGGGTCCTCCACTTAGGACAGAAGAATCGCATGCACTGCTACAGACTAGGGACCGAATGGCTCGGCAGCAGTTCTGCAGAAAAGGACCTAGGGGTTACAGTGGACGATAAGCTGGATATGAGTCAACAATGTGCCCTTGTTGCCAAAAAGGCCAATGGCATTTTGAGCTGTATAAGTAGGAGCATTGCCAGCAGATCGAGGGACGTGATCGTTCCCCTCTATTGGGCATTAGTGAGGCTTCGTCTGGAGTACTGTGTCCAGTTTTGGGCCCCACACTCCAGTTTTTCCACATCCTTCTTCTAAAGAGTCCAGCGGAGGGCAACAAAAGTGATTGGGGGCTGGAGCACATGACTTAGGAGGAGAGACTGAGGCAACTGGGCTTATTTAGTCTGTAGAAGAGAAGAGTGAGGGGGGATTTGATAGCAGCCTTCAACTTCCTGAAGAAGGGGTTCCAAAGAGGAGCTTCCTGTCCTGTTACATTACTGTGTGCTGCTGGGGCTGCATTTCAGTGGGGCTGTGTGAGCTGGTATAGGCTTTGTAAAGGACTCTGGGAGGAAAGGCTTGTGAAACTCTAGTTACCCACGGAGATAATTCTTTAGTTTTTTAAAGATAATTTAATTCTTCAAAAATTTATTCTGATGGTCAGTATAGGGGACTGGATTTTGTCCAGACTGGTGAATTGTGAGGTGTCGTTCCCCCCCCCCTTTTTTTTTTTTTAAATCAGACTGCATTATATGAATGGAATATCAAAAATGGGGTCCCAAATCTGGGAAGCTAAGGCCAGAACACGTCACAGCACAACAGAATAATGTTTTTCAGCCAAGTCTGTTATGAGGTTCAGCCCTCAGTGCTGCCTGTGTAGAATACTGTCCCTTTCCTCCATGTACTAAGAGCTTCTTGGTACAAAACAAGAAACTCTGGCCTCCTCAGAAATTGCAGTGAAGGAGCTAATTTGTAAATGAATAAAACTGCCCTGTTCTCTCAGCTTAAAATCCTTGCCAGCTGAGCCCTCACTTGGGATCTGAAGGGGCAGGGCAGCATTGTGGAAGTCTCCGTAACGTAAGAGATCCCCTTTGTTTTCCTTCCCTCACCAAGGGTATTTCTACCAGTTCCACTTATGGTCAAGGTCTGCTCCTCGCGACTACAGCTAGGGGAACAGCAGATACCTATAGGAGTGCAGGGCTCCATTAGATTCCTCCTTGTCTGGGCTAGCAAAGGCCCCACCAGGAGCAGGGGGCACGTCTGTGCTATACCACGTGTCAGCCTGTCTGAGAACTCTTCTTCCCCGCTCACAGGCGTAAATCTTTCTCCTTCGCCTTGGCTTACGTGCTGCTGATCTTTGGAGGCCAGCATGTCATGAAGCAGCGGAGAGGGTACGACCTGCGCAAGCCACTGGTCCTGTGGTCACTCAGCCTGGCCCTGTTCAGGTAAGAACGGCATCTCTTGCTTTATTCTGCTGCTGGTGGTGGTTACTGGGCAGCCGTAGAGTCCCACCATGTCAGCTGACCCTGGAGAGAGACATGGAGGCATTTCCTTGTGGGATGCTAACTCAGAAGGGGCAATAGGTTTTTGATAAACTGCTGAACCACAGATAATTCCCCACTCCCAGCCTGGCCATGGGGCTTTAATTTTAGTCCTTATTTTAAAACCTTCCTTCCCCCCGCTCACCCCCGTTTCCTAACCCTGTAGAAGTGATCCCAAAATGGGGGGGAAAGGGTCTTTTTTGCAGCAGTGAGGATAAAAGCTGAATAGCAAAACAGCAAGGATGAGAGGGTTTATGTTAAACGCATTTCTTTTGTGAACGAGGGATTATTTTTGAAGTTTCAGCCACACATAGACCATAAAAGTGAGATAAGAATCTTCCATCTAAGGTCTCTGTGTAAAAGATTCAGTTCTTTGTCTTTAAGTAGTCTATAAACTGTGCTGGCAACTCTGTGGGGACTCTGATAGGAGCCTGCTGAGAATGACTCAACCATAGCTTTGCTCTGTAATTTAGGTCTCCAAGCCAAGATCCTTCAGTTTTCTCACACTCCTCTCAGCACCTGTTTACTGCAGCTCTGGCTGGTTTGGCAGAGTGAGACCATCATCCTCATGAGATTAATTGGTGTAAGATGCTGAAGCATGAGGGGGATGGAGCTGGCTGGGAGTGATGCTGGATTCTGACTGGCCTGCGTGGTCCACGTAAGGGTGGAGGAGGTAGGGAAAGATGTGGGAAGCTGGAATGACACCTTGCTATGCAGTGTCCTGACACATACAAGCTGTGGCACTGATAGTCCATGCACAACCATTCTGAAGCCATATCCCCACTTTAATGACTGACAGCTTTGGGTAGCCAGCCCACAAGTTTAAGGGGTACTTTTTGGCCTGCATGAGCGTCTCTTTCAAAGTACTTGAAGCTAAAGGTGGGGCAGGGAGCACATATTCTTCACTTCTCTTGTTGTCTTGGTTTCCCAGGAGCCATTGCCTGGCATCATGTATACAAACGCAAGGCTTTCTGCATACACAGGGTTGCTGTGATACAGTCCTCGCTTCTTATCTCTTGTGTGACATTTTATTGGTGGTGTCATTCTGACAAGGCAGTTCTAGGTGGAAAAACCACAACTGCTTACATCAACTCAGACTGCTTTCAGCCTGCTGTTGGTCATCACACCAGTGATATTCAGAAGCTCTCCTACTCAGCCATGCAGTTACGGCTCCAATCCTTTGTGTACATTAGCCTTTTCCTGAAAAGCTCACTACAGGTGGCTCAGCTCTCGGGAGAGTTGCCTTAGTTGGGGTGGATGCTGGCAAGACAGGAGCTACATGGTACTTTTTGGCCGAATAGTTTATTCGCTGAAAAATGCAGTTTGGGGGCAACTGAAACTATTTGCGAATTTGGATCAAATTCAGCAAATAGCACTGAATGAATAAAAAGAAATTTCTAAGTCAAAATGGTTTGTTCTAACACTTTTGAAATGAAAGGCTTTGACTTTGTTTCATTTTGAAATGTCGCTAGATTTGTTTCAAAACTTTTTAGATGAGTAAAAAAACACCCTAAATAAAGAAATGAAAATTTCCAGGTTAAACAAAATGTTTCATTTGACTGGAAATGATTTTTTTTCCATTTTCATTTTGCAAGAAAGAACAAAAGTGTCAGTTTTTTTGTTCATTCTAAAACAGTTTTGGGGGGGGGGGGGGAGTTGCTTTTTGTTTCGGCCACTGAACCGAAAAAATCCATTCTTAACTCAGCTCTAGTGAAGGCCTCCTCTAAGCTTCAGTTTCTAAAATGGTGCTGAATGCAATTAGTCTGCACTTGCAGCTAAACCGTGTTCAGGACTTGCTTAGCTGTCCCTGTCAACTTTTGTAGCTTAGACAAGCTCTGTGTGAAGTGGAAAAAACTGCTGTGTTTAAATACATTTGTCAACCTCTTGATTTCTTGCTGTGTGGAGAAGGAGAGGGGAACCATGGCTTAGCCTAGGTATCTACCAGGGTTAAAACATGGCTCCTTACTGTGTAATCTAGTTAGTATTTCTAGCATATAGCAGACCCCAAAGTCTGTGCTGTTCACTTTCCAGACCCAAACAAGTGTTGATTCCTGCCAGCAGTGTAGAGTCATGCAGCTGTTAAGAAATGGATTTTTGAGATCCCAGCTGGGGTTTGCCCTGCAGCACAAGCTCTTAGATCACTTCTCAGTCTGTAAACTGAGCCAGCCATCTAGCACTGGTGACATCGAGTTCCAGTCAGATCAGAACCACACATCACATAGCTCTCTATGTCATGTGTGCATGGAGTTCTGCAGCGTGTCTTATGGACACTAGGAACCGGGTTAGGCAGCGAATCTTTAGACTGGCATTTGTGCATGTTGATTGTAGGGGCTGAGATGAGCAAGTTGAGTTGGTGGCTCTTTGTCTAATTCAGACTTCTAGTTGTGCTTCAGATGTGTAGTGGTTTTTGTATCCTTGGCTCATTTGAGGCCCACGCCTGTCCTGATGTGCTGAAACTCCAGCTCAGAGGTATGAGCAGAGCTGGTGAGAAGAGACTGGAATATCGGAGCGTGTGGTAGTTCACTGTTGAGGTGCCCTGGAAGAATTTGGAGTAGGACTTGGGCAGGGGGTGCTGCAGGCTCAGGAGTGAAATGTGTTGGCAGAGCTGCCTGGAGACCTGTGGCTGGATGGATGGCTGCCCCTGTCTGAGTAGGGCCAAGTAGTTCTGCTAGCGAGCCAGGGTATTCAAATCTATGCTTCCCAAGACAAGGAGGATCAGTAACTGGAGTAAATGCAGTATCTGTCACCCAACAGGGCAGGAGGCTGATTACTTAGGCTTCCTACTTCTCCTGTGGAGGGGATGGAATTGGCAGAGTTTCTGTGGGGGGAGAAATCAGCCTTCCTTGTGTGATTTTAATCATGTCCTATGATGCTCATATGGCTCTCTTGCAGTATCATCGGTACCCTGAGGACATGGGGGTACATGGGATTTGTCCTCTCCACCAGTGGATTTAAGCGATCTGTGTGTGATCCAGGCTTCTATAATGGCCCCGTCAGCAAGTTCTGGGCATATATGTTTGTCTTAAGCAAAGTACCGGAATTGGGTGAGTGTAAAACCTCCTTTGCTTTATTTGACGTGGTTATAAACTCTTCCCTTGTTATAGGCAGACTCTCTAAAGGGCTCCATCCTTCATAGGAGGGGCTGATTCAGCCAGTCTAAGTTGTCTCCCTTGTTCTAATCCACTGCAGCTCAATGCAGACAGTGTAGCACCATCCTGTGACCTCCCAGGTAACCTCAGTCTAGCTCAGTCCCCCCAGCATGGTCACTTACACAGGAAGGAGGACTTCAGGATAAGACACAGGACTGTCAGTTAGGATTCAAATCCAGACCCTGCCACTAACTTTTTGCCTGAAGGGAGAAGGGGTGGGTAAACGTCAGTACCATGAGGTGTATGGTGTTACTTCTCTCAGTGCAGCATTGCATGTTTGACGGGGGAGGGGCTGTCTGTCCTCTTGGAGCATGGAAATAATCTGGGCTGAATAAAAGTTCTGGTTGGGTTGAGTGAGGTGATGGATTTATCTCTTCGCTGCACCCTGAAAACACATCAGCTGCTTTGCCTTATCTGACCAGTGATGTCTGTCTCCCAAGGTGACACGGTGTTCATCATTCTCCGGAAGCAACGGCTCATCTTCCTGCATTGGTACCACCACGTCACAGTGCTGCTCTACACCTGGTATGCCTATAAGGACATGGTAGCCGGTGGCGGCTGGTTCATGACCATGAATTACGGTGTCCACGCCTTCATGTACTCCTACTACACAGTGCGGGCAGCGGGCTTGAGGGTGCCACGCCCATTTGCCATGGTGATCACCGTTACCCAGATCCTGCAGATGGTGATGGGCACAGCAGTGAGCATCATGGCATACTCCTGGATGCAGGATGGCATCTGCTCAACCTCCTGGGAACAATTCTTCTGGTCGTCCATAATGTATCTCAGCTACCTGGTGCTCTTCTGTCACTTCTTCTGCGAGGCATACTTTAAGGGGAGGGGCAAAACAAAAGGGGACTAACACTAGTGGGAGGAGTGTTGCTGGGACTCCTGCTCCCTAGGCTGTTGGCTCTCCAGCGCATTACAGGCCTGGTGTGATGAAGCTGGGGGGGAAGAAATTGATTGCTACCAGTGCTTCTGCTGTTGGACCTATGAAGAGGCATCAGTATCTGCCTCAGAGGAGGCTGCTCCCTGGGCCTTCCAGCCAAAGCCTGAGTGCTCTTTGCTCTGCAGTCTTTAGAGGGATGGGGGAAGAGAACTGGAGAGGCTGTGAATGCCAGAGAGAAAGGGTTGGAGGAGTATCAAGAACCCATCACTAAATTTCAGGTTCTCCCTCTTCTGTCCTGCCAATCCATCCTCCCCCACCACCCCCCAGGTTGTGTTGTGCGTCTCTTGCACAGAGCTAATCTTCCCTTCTGTTCTCAAAGGCCAAACTTTCTTAAGGGTGAGGAGTGTCTGCTCCCTGGCATGAGCTTCACACACAAGGGGTGGTTGCATGCCTGTTGCCCAATGGCTGGCCATACCGGTTCTGCAGGAGAGGTTTGGGAGCCCAAGATTGGGTGCTATTGCCAGCTAGAGGGAGACCCTTGAATTCAACAACTTGCTGGGGCAGGAGATGGCAATGGTGGCTGCACTGAATGGGAAAAGTACCTAAATCTTTATCGCCTGGCCAGTTCCTTGCAGGAGATAGAGGGGAGGTTTCAGTAACAACTGGGAAGCCTTGGTTGTCCTGATTGGCTTAGAGTCCAGGGGGCTTGAACTAAGGGGTTGAAAGCTCACAGGTACTGACCTTATATTAAGGGTTCTCCTGCTCCCCCAAGCTAGCTGACTTGACTTGGCATTTCATTTTTCTCTTGCATGACAAGAATTCTCCTCTTTTCTGGGTTAGAACTGTGAACCCCAACTGGGCAAGAGGGCAAAGGGACAGTCCCCAGCTGACCCAGTACATATCTAGACTGCCTAGCTAGGGCAGAATGAAGATCCTCCCGACTCTCCCATGTGCTAATTGCAGGAAATGAAAAGCCCTGGGACCTGCTGCTAAAAGCCAGAGGCCAGAGCTCCAAGTAACTAGCTCAAAAATTGATCTCACCCCAGTGATGGTCTCACTTAACTCCTCATGATGCTCACTTTGGTATGAACATGTGTGCCTGGGCTGCTTGCCTAGATGTTCCCCCTCTGACATCCTGCCACTTGTGATTACCTCAACTTTTAATAGCGGATGGGCAAAGATGGTGTTTAAATCTGGCTTTGTGATCCTGGAGCCGAAATACCAATGCCCCACATGAGACTGGAAGGGTTGTCCCCAAACTGGACCTTGGAGTTAATGTACACTGGCTGCACTTTTAAAAACCTTCTTTTCGCATTGTGAGTACAGGGAACTGCTCCGATTGGAATACTGGTAGAGCTGCTAATCTCAGTGGGCCAATTTAAAGCTCCTGATGCTTTATTAATTGAGGTCTGTGTGCAGGCCTGGGTACCAGCCCCAGTTCTAACAGATTCTCTCTGTGGCCTTTAGCAAATCATTTCACCATGTTGTGCCTCAGTTTCCCCACCTGTAAAATGGGGAACGATACTGACCTACCTCCCATGGGGTTTGAGGCTTACTGTCTGTAAAGTGTTCTGAAGACTAACATTGCGCAAAGACTTGTCACTGTGTAATGCAGCCCCTCCTCCTAGCCCCCAACTTCCATCGCAGGAATTGCCTCTTCTAGTCAAAGCACCTGTCTGTTTCAGGCAGCTGTGCCACTGGAGGAGGCTGAAGCCCTGATCACTAACTCCCAGGGGACACCAAGACAAAAGCTGCTTTCTGTTATAAACTGTTGGAGGCAAGAAAGTTTTTCCTCCTAAAATCAAGATTGGTGAAACTCATCTCTTCATGGCATGCTGTGACTTGTGATTGAAGATAACCAGTGTCCTCTTCCTTGAACGGGAAAATAAAGGGTAAGAGTCCCTGGAGAAACAGCAATGAGTGTTAATGAAGCCAGGAATCTTTGGGGTCCAGGTTCCCTTGCTAAGGCACTGACTCTAGTACCGTGTTTAACCAGGAATATGGATTTTCAGGATTTAAGCTGCTCTTTCTATTTCAATGGAATCAATTTACGCTTCCTCAGCTGTTCTGCTGCTGACTTCTACTGCACCTCGGCATGCAACCTCTTTCAGATTCCCTGTCTGGATGGCAATGCTGGAAGAGAATTCACCCCTTACTGGAGCGTGCTGAGCAGCTGCCACTGCACTGATCTCTGCTTGGGGGAAGCTCGCTCCAGAAACCCCTCCCCTTGGGACTTGCATCCTGACACTGCAAAAGGGTTTTGGTGATGCTAGCTTTAATAGCAATACATTTATTATAAGTAACTAGCAGGGCCCAGCTTCTTCTACAGCAGGGGTCAGCAGCCTTTCAGAAATGCTGTGCCAAGTCTTCATTTATGCACTGTAATTTAAGGTTTCGTGTGCCACGAATACATTTTATATTTACAGGGGCTGATAGACGGAACCCCAGACTGGCAGTGGGCTGAGCGGGACGCTGGCTGGCAGGGGCCAGCAGACGGAACCCCAGACCGGCAGTGGGGTCGGCAGACGGAACCCCAGACCAGCAGCGAGCTGAGCGGCTCAGCCTGCTGCCGGTCTGGGGTTCTGTCCACAGGCCCCTGCCAGGTGGGGTCCCAGCTGCTGGCCCTGCTCAGCCCGCTGCCAGCCTGGGGTTCTGTCCATCTAGGCCGGCTACGGGCTGAGCAGGGCCGGGACCAGGGGCTGGCAGCAGAGTGCCACTGTAAATCAGCTCACATGCCACCTTTGGCACGCATGCCATAGGTTGCCAACCCCTGTTCTACAGCATCGAAACTTTCTGCAGTCTTTCCTAGTGCAGAATTATGCAGCCAAATCAAAGCTTTCATTTTTAAGTTTCTGGGTGTTAATTATGAAGAAAACATTAATCTGAACTGAATGTAAAGTGGTGCGGTACTGTCTGCCTCAGTCTACAGACAGCCAAAGTAATAGCTCTGAGTTAACACCTTATTTAGCTCAGATGGATGTACACTCTGAAATCTAATGACAGCAGTTTAAATGTCATTGGTCAGTGATGTGAAAGTTAATCGGGAAGAAACTTCCAGCTAAACTGCTTGTTCTGCAATCCCAAACTACCTTCCTTCCAGTTTCATCCTACCCAGCTTCCTAAAGTGTCAGTTTCCTCTTGACAATTGCTACATCTTCATTCTGGAGCTCTGCAGCACAGGGCAAACTGGGTGGCAGTGTAGAATTAAATAAGGAACACTATGCTGATTGTATTATTCATATTTATATTAAATAACCTCAGTTAATTCACCAAATGCTGCTTCTGCCTCCCTGCCCCTGGAGTTCTGCAGAATCCATCTCTAGCTTGCTGCAGTGTTACATGAGGGCCTTGTAGAAGTGCGGCGCACCTATGACTCCCCTCAGTTTCAATGAGTTTTGCAGGTATACCCATCCCCCAAGACCAGGGCAAGCTGTAGAAAGGTGGGAAGAAGCTGTCTGGGTGTTTGTCCTGGTTGTTACAAGACTTGCAAAACAGCCAACAGCAAAGAAATGAAAATGTCTCTGAACCAGATCTACAAATCCACTCCAACTGCATCTGAAATAGTTACTGTGTGACATGTGAATTTGGTTAATAAAGTGTATGGTTTTTATCACTCTTCTTTGTATCTGGCCTATGTTCTGAATTAGCAAAAAAAGCTAAGAATGACTTCCCCATTACAACCCTGACTCCTCATGAGGAAGAATTAGCCTGGACGTGGACTAGCTATTGAACAGAGGCAACTTCAACTTCATGTGCTTATTTATATTTTTATCCAGCAACTTTTTCACTGAACTCTTATAAAGCATCTTGTCCTGCTTTTGTACTTTGCACACTGTCTAACTAAGGGTCATCTTACTCCATAAAGTAGGTTTGAGGAGAAGGAGAAAACAGTTTGGTAGCTGTGGAATAAACAGAAGACCGTTAAACCATCATTATTTCAAAGCTCAGTTAAGCAACTAAGAGCTTGCTCCAACCTTATGAAAGGCAACAACTCACTGAGCTGTAATGCACCCATTTGCCCCAAGAGTTGAGTCCTCTTCATCCTGCTTATTACACTGATTTTTTTTTAAATGCCCTACTGTTTTTATTTGCCTAGCTCTGTTCTTGAATCTCTTCCTTCCCTACCCCACCAGCCAGGGAATAAGGCTTGTAAAATCAACAAGAATTCAGTAAAGACAAGTGCAAAGTACCTCACTTAAAGAGAAGGAAAAATCAAATGCACAACTACACAATGGGAAATAACTCAGTATTGCTCAGAAGGAGTTGGGGGTTATAGTGGATCAAAACTGAATGAGAGTCATCAATGTTATGTAGTTGTGAAAAAGGCTAATATAATTCTGGGGTATATTTAACAAAAGTATTGTATGTAAGACCTGAGAGGTAATTATGGGTCAAATCAACTGGGAGGATGAATTTAAGCAGAAAACTGAATGACCATTGGAAGTCATTTAAGAGCATTAGTAGATGCCCCAAAAGTCCCAGTTGGGGGGAAAGTGTGTATTTGGATAAATGTGTGAGCTGGTTTAGAAGGGAAGTGAAGGCAGATATTATTTTAAAAAATGGAAGAAGGGGAAAGTTGGTAGTAATGAAGATATATCAGAAGTTAGGAATGGTAGAAAATTGGTAAGGGAAGCAAAGAGACACAAGGGGAAGTCTATGACCAGCAAAGTTAAGGACAATAAAGAATTTAACTCTGTTAGGAACAAAAGGAATCCTGACTATGGTATTGGTCCATTACTAGGTGGGAAGGGTAGAATTTTAAATAATGCAGAAAAGGCAGAAGTGGGGTGGGGGGAGGGGAGGATTATATGATCTCATTAGATGGTGATAACACTTTCCATTCCATTACTATCTCTGGAGGATGTTCAACAGAAGCTACTCTAAGGCCTTGTGTACGCTAACAAGTTTTGTTGCCAAAAACTCTCTATTGGTGACAAAACAGCAAGAGTGTACACTCTACAATGGGACTTTTGTCGTGAAAAGCACCCAGTTTTGGCGACAAAAAAATTCCACCCCATGAGAGACTTTTGTCTTTTCCCCTCCCTTTATTGTCGACAAAGATCCAGTGTCCACACTGCTGATTGTTTCCTCGACAGAACTGGCTTCTGCCAGTATCCCACAATGCCTGCCCTGATGGCTCTGCTCAGTGTTTTGATCTCTGCTGCCCTGCAGGCACGCACCCATCCCCTTTCAAAGCTCCAGGAAGTATCAGACAGCTGAGCATGCTGCTCCGTTTGAGGAACAAACAAAAAGCAAATCATTGGAATGCTCCCATTCTGCCCGGCACTAGGAACACGGCAGCAGACTGGCTGCTGCGCTGCTTTGCTATTCCTCAGCGCGGAGAGCTCACAGAGCTACTCACGATGCTGCTCTCGGCAGCCGAGGGGCTGTGGGAGAATTCGGAGAGGAATCCCAAGGTGCGCAGTGATCAGCTCTTCCTTCCCACAACACTGCACTGTGGGATACATACCCATGGTCAGGTCCGGCTCTACGCTTTTTGCCGCCCCAAGCTGTGCGCCAAATTGCCGCCTGAAGAAGGGAGCTGCTGCCGAATTGCCGTCGCAGGACTGTGAAGTTACAAGCTGCTGCCGAATTGCTGCCCCAGCGAAAAAACCCATGCCGCCCTGACGGCGCACGGACTGCCGCCCCTTTAAGATTGCCGCCCCAGGCATCTGCTTGGAACGCTGGTGCCTGGAGCCGGCCCTGCCCACGGTGCATTGCCCACCCTGTTGATGATGGTGTCCCCTAGGTGGACGTGATGTATTGACAGAGGGAGCAAGTGTGAACACCCTTTGGTGACTTTTGTTTTGTCAACTTTTGGGTGTCAATATAAGTTTTGTCAACAAAACTTGGTAGTGTAGACAAGCCCTGAGTCTTGGAGTACTCGGGAAGTTCCGAAAGACTGAAAGAAAGCTATTGTTATGCCAGTACTTTGAAAAGCTAATTATAGATCTGTCTGCCTGCCCTCGATCCTGGGCAACATAATGGAGCAGCTGATACAGAACTCGATTTAATAAAGAATTAAAGGAGAGTAATGTATTTAATGCAAATCAACAGAAGCCTATGGAAAGTAGATCCTGTCAAACTAATTTGATAGCATTTTTTTGATGATTACATGTTGGGTTGATAAAGGTAATTGAGTTGACGTAATATATTTAGAAATTCCCTTAGGTGTTTGGCTGGGTACTGCATGACATTTTGATTAAAAATTAAAACTATATAAATTTAACATAGCCAGTTTTTAATCCATTTAATGTATACTAACAGATAGCTCTCAAAATGTAATTGTAAATACAGAATCCTCATTGAGCGGGTGTGTTTCCAGTGGGATCCACCGGGATCGGTTCTTAGCCCTGTGCTATTTAACATTTTTATCTGTGACTTGGAAGAAAACACACAATCATCGGTGATAAAGTTTGCAGATGATGGAAAAATTGAGGGACTGGTAAATAATGAAGAGGACAGGTCACTGATTCAGAGCAATCAGGATTGTTTGGTGTCAGACTCGCAGACCTAGTGCCCTCTGCTCCGTACCGTCCCTGGGAGGGAGCCCCCTTCAGCGTGACAGCCCTCCTCAGGATTCACACTCTCTCTTGGGGTTAAGCCCTGGGCTTCTCCGCCTTCTGGAACTGCACCGCTGAGCCTTCACACCTGTCTCTCTCTGAGCCCCCTCTGGGAGTCCACTTGCTCTAGACCCCCGGGGCCTCCACAGCCAGAGGGAACAATGCAATCCTGATTTCTCAACCGCAGTGACTCTGAGTCAGAGAAGGGTTTATTGAACATCTGAACACAGCACAGGAAGTGCTCAGGGTCCTCGGGCCTAGAAAGTCAGCACAGTCCATCTGGGCCTGACCAACACTGAGGTGGGATCAGGTTGCTCTTTGTCCCTGTCATAAATATAAAGGGAAGGGTAACCACCTTTCTGTATACAGTGCTATAAAATCCCTCCTGGCCAGAGGCAAAGTCCTTTTACCTGTAAAGGGTTAAGAAGCTCAGGTAACCTGGCTGGCACCTGACCCAAAATGACCAATGAGGGGACAAGATACTTTCAAATCTGGAGGGGGGCGGAAAGGCTTTTGTCTGTTTGTGTGATGCCTTTGCCGGGAACAGATCAAGGATGCAAGCCCTCCAACTCCTGTAAAGTTAGTAAGTATTCTAGGTAGAAAATGCGTTGGGTTTTCTTCGTTTTGGCTTGTGAAATTCGCTGTGCTGGAGGAAATGTGTATTCCTGTTTTTGTGTTTTTTTGTAACTTAAGGTTTTGCCTAGAGGGATTCTCTATGTTTTGAATCTGACTCCCTGTAAGATTATCTTCCATTCCGATCTTACCAGAGTTGTTCTCTTATTTTTTTTTGTTCTTCTAATAAAGTTCTTTTTTTAAGAATCTGAGTGGGTTTTTTGGGAGTTAAGAATCCAAGGTTGGTCTGTGCTCATCTTGTTTATTGTCAAGTCTCCCCAGGAAAGGGGGTGTAAGGGCTTGGGGGGATATTTTGGGGAAATAGGAACTCCCAGTGGTCCTTTCCCTGATTGTTTGTTAAATCACTTGGTGGTGGCAGCGTTTTACGTCATCCAAGGGCAAAGGCTTTGTGCCTTGGGGAAGTTTTAACCTAAACTGCTAGAAATAAGCTTAGGGGGTCTTTAATGCGGGTCCCCACATCTGTACCCTAGCGGTCAGAGTGGGGAAGGAACCCTGACAGTCCCCATTCCAGAAGCGACCTCCTTCCAGCCCACCACCCTATATCACCTTCCCAACATCCCCTCCTCAATCCTTTGTTGTCTTTCCTGAGCAAACAGATCATGTGGACCCTCTCTCTTACACCCTTTGTTTTCCCTCAGGCCAGAACCTGCTGCCTTCCAGCTAATCGGAGCCCTCTCTCCTCAGGCCTTTGTCTTCCCACTGGCCAGAACCCACTGCTTTCCAGATCACCTGGCCCTCTCTCCTCGGCCTTTTGTTCTCCCCCAGCTGAAATTGGCTGGCTCCCAAGATGGAGTGGGTCTCTGGGTCACCAGTTGCTAAGTTACACAGTTCCAGGCTGTTGTCCAGACTGCTAGGTGGGGTCACATCTGGCCCTCTGCAACAAAAAACACCCTCTCCCACCACCTTATTAAACACGCAGTACAAAGGGAAAACTGAGAGACGGTGCACTCGTGCAAACCATTACGAAAATCCCCCACTTAATCACGCTTGGTAAATTGAGTCCAAGCGTTGTGTATTTTAATACAGTTAAATGTAAATGTACACAGCTAGGAGCAAAGAATATAGGCCATACTTACAGGTTAGGGGATTCTACCCTGAGCAGTAATGACTGAAAAGGCATTGGGGTCATGCTGGAGAATCAGCTGAACATGAGCTCCCAGTGCGATGCTGGGGCCAAAAGAGCTAGTGTGATCCTCGAATATGTGAACAGGGGAATCTCGAGCAGGAGCAGAGAGATTTGTTTTACTTCTGTGTTTTGCACTGGTGTGACTGCTGCTGGAATCCTGTGCCCAGTTCTGGTGCCCACAATTCAAGAAGGATGTTGATATATTGGAGAGGGTTCAGAGAAGAGCCACAAGAATGATTAAAGGATTAGAAAACATGCCTGATAGTGATACTCAAAGAATTCAGTCTATTT